ACAAGGGCATAGTTTTTCTCTGGACTTCAGCCTCTGAACCAGATTTACACTACAACTTAGCCATACCATACCATACCGCCATTACTCGCTGACGAGTATTTGACACGCATCAGAAGATGGTCACGCAAGGCGTTTTCTTTCATGAGCTTTTCTGTGACAGAAAAGCCCGATACGTGATGTTATCTGCCTACCGCACTCCAAACATTCAAAAATCTCATCGCTTTGTTGCCTCTTTACTTTTTGGTTGTCGCTCTTAACTGACTTTACAATTTTTCTCCATTCCGTTCTATTGTGAACTGCCTCTTCCCACTCATTCTGCTTGTTAATTCCCTTTAAGTTTTCGTGGAAAATATCCTTGAACCTTTTGAGTTGTCCACCCGGCCTCCTCTTACCGTCTACAAGCTCACCGTAAAGCAGAGATCTAACTACAACTTACACAGCATACGGATCTTGATCCCCAACTTTACAACCGAAATATAAAAAGTAAGCCTTTCTAACTTCTTGTGAAAGTGGTATATGATTTAACAATAAATCGACAACAACTATAACAAAACTTATTTGGTAAATTTTCGCAAGATTGAAGTACAAAAGTTGCCTTCTCAGACATTTTTTGGCTAGAAAACTTTCTGTACGAATGACAGTTAGAAATAAACTAAAATTTAGTTTTAGCGGTTTATATTTAATATAAACTAACGATTTTATAGTTATGCACGGTCACGTTTATTCAACTTATAAATAAATTTATTGCTTTGGGATGGTTAGTTTCAGAAAAACTTTTTTTTAAGAATACCGATAAGGGTCGTACTCGTACTAGAGGTGTGTAATTCGTGAACTAACTAGTTCCAATGAACTATTCTGACCCCGGAATGAAAGGAACTAGTTCCTGGTTTCTCAAAGGACTAGTTCCTCAGGACCTATTCCGGGATCGAGACTGTGTCCGAAATAGAATAATATTCGACGGCGACGGATCGGCCAGCGCGCGTAGCCCGATGGTAGGCAGGAGTGGGGAGTGCCAGACGTACGGTATCGGATCCGGACCTAGAGGAACTAAACTAAATAAAAGACTAGTTTACGTACGAACGGATCGGGCCAGCGCGATCGATGCTAAGCAGGAGTGGGGAGTGCGAGCCGTATGTTATCGGATCCGGACATAGAGGAACTATTAAAAGACTAGTTCACGGGAATCTATTCAGTCGGCAGATCCGAGATATAACACAGGGCGACGACGATGGCCTTGTCTATTGCCGCAGCCGGCGGCGGCGCGGCGTAATTACCACAGAAAATTGTCGTGGATACTGGTTTTGATTTTTAGTTTGTTTTTTAAATATTTTATGGGAATGTTTCACTTTAGATCCCTAAAATTAAGAAATATCTTATAAAACGAAGTAGATATTCTGAATTTTTAGACAAAAACAAAAAGCTTGAAGTGATGAAAAATGCAATTTTTCGTAAAATTTTTGTAATATTTGCTCCAATTGATTTCTGATATAGTTTTTTAAATTCTGATTTGAGTTTTTTTATCTGCTATAAAACTTACCTATATGTTTTTAACATACACAATTACACGTCTTGTTATATCTCCGTACATTATAAAAATTATACTGATCATACTGTGAATAGTTCTGACTGACAACGAAACGCATTAGCAAGCAAGGGGGATGTCAATGTTAGTCGGGAACTATTGTGAACTAAAGACCTAGTTCAAGGAACTATTCCTCTGGAGGAACTAGAACTAAGGAACTAGTTCCTCCCAAGGTACTAGAATTCCCACCTCTAGGTCGTACTGTCCGTATACAGGTAGCTAAATAAAAATGTGACGTGATGGGTTCATTAAGCAATATTTATGTAATTAGACAACAAAAATAGACATAAAAACTCTTTTTTGGTCCATGTTAACCTTGTCGACCAGTGTAATCCGTAATTTAATAATATTTAACACACACATCATAATATTTAATCATACGACATTATAACGCCACTATGTCGTATATCTAGAGGTCGCGTGACATTGTCCGTACATTTCTCTTTCCTAGAGATAAAATCCATTAAGGAGCTCGATGGAGCCGAAGTGGCCATCATCGTTTTGGTCGGTTGGACATCCAATTTAGTTCGCGTATTAAAATTACTAAGCTGTGCCGAATTGCCGCAGCAGTGGCAGCAGCAGCAGCAGCCCGAGTAAGGTATTTATTAGAGCCGATTAGATTACGGCAGTATTTATTTTTCATTGCGAAAGATAAATTATACAGGTGCGAGATGCAGGTAATTTAGATCGCTCAAAATCGATAATGGTTTGTCTGGCTTAATATAGTTTTTGCAAAGGTACAGAGTGGATCAAATTGGACACTTTTAAAGGGAAACACCCTTTTCTGTAGGAGATAGACGAAAACGAATACCTGTGTCTGGAGCTCAATTTTTATCATAAACATGATGGTAAAAACCACACACCGACACCGCATTTTTTGCTATGAAAAATTTTGAATTTTTATGAAAACATACCCAAATCACCTTTTTACTTAGAATTTAATGACTTAAGTATAATTTTTTTAACAATAATAATTTAAGGGTAATCAATAGAAAAATGTTTTTTTATTCGGGACACCCTGTATATTTTAATGAACTAAAAAGAACTTAAAATTACCTTTCAAAAAATATAGCACACTTGATATTTTCGCCCAAAAAAACTCTCGCCCATATACAAGAAGAAGCCAAAGCAAGAGTAATGATAACAACCCCAGAGTTCCCAACTGGCAATGGAGTATGACAGGGAGACGCGATATCCCCAAAGCTGTTTACAGCAATATTAGAAGAAATCTTCCGTCGAAACTGGACTGGACCAACAAGGGATTAAAAATACATGGAGAATATCTTAAACATGTAAGATTCGCTGATGACATGGTCCTAATTGCCAAAAATCCATTTTATATTAAACTGCGATTGCATTCTGATTTTATTTATTTATAGATAAGGTATCATTATCTAGGGCCAAGATCATAATATAACGGGTGTTTCTGAAGAGTGCCCTATACCTTTTTATTTTTCTGGTAAAAACGAGATTTTGTATGTTAGCATATAACATAAATTAGGATTGTTTGGCGTACAGAATTCAATTCGTTTCGATCACTTCCTGTTTCATCGGAAATAACTACAACTTTTGATTTTTAAATGGCACCCTCGGTATATTTTTACTTTATTCAATAAAAAATGACACTCTAAATAGAATGGTCGTTATGAACCGCATGTTACACTTTCCAGTTAAACCATATGCGAAAATGTCAAAAGTTGATATACAGGGTGTCCGAACGAAAGATATATATTATACGAAATTAAAAATATTATACGAAACAAGGCAATTTTAAGGCATTTATCATTTTTGAAGTTTTTATCACGTTTGATGGAATCAGGCTGAAACATAAACTTTTGATATTTGCTTTGATTGCTTTGATTGCTTTGATATTTGATTAATTATACAGGAATCGAAATGGGGTCTTAAATAAGAAATTTAGTTTAAATCTACAAGATTTGCTTAAGGAATAATACACAAAAAATAGTACCCTGCTTTGAAACAATTACTTGATTAAATGTGCCTGAATTGAGCATCCCCTGCTTCCGAATACAGGTTCTGCTTAGAGCGTTCTCGGATCTTGTTGTAATATTTCGTGTGTTATAACCGCGCACTCGTGTACAATTCTTTGACGTAATACTTGCGTGGCGAATACTTTTGTTTTGAGATGTCAAAGCGGAGACAAATCCGGTCACCTGGCTGGCCAGTCAAGAAAGGGTTCCCTTCTTCCAATCCACCGACCGGGAAATGTTTCATCAAGATACTGCTGCACACATACAGCTTAGTGTGGAGGAGCTCCATCTTGTTGAAACACAAGTTGATTTTCGCCATAGTGATCTTCATTCTCAATTATTTATGCAATGCTGGGATTTACGGCATTTTCCAAAAGATCCAGATACATATTTCCAGTTAGATTTCCATCCAGAAAGAACGGGCCATCTAGACAGACGCCAAAGATTTCAGCCCACACATTATTTTTTTTCGGGGTACTGGGTATGAATCTCACGGAATTCTCTAGGGTTGGTATCCGACCAGTAGCGACAATTGTGGTGATTTACTGTTCCATTGAGGAAATATGTACATTCATCCGAAAAGCACATGTTGAAAAGAAGACGTGGAGTAGCAATGAGCATTTCACTTAGTTCTTCCCAGAATTGTAATCGTCTGTCGTAATCATCTTCGTTCAATTCTTGGGCCAGATGAAGTTTGTAAGGGGAATTTGTGGAACTTTAGTATCCTGTGAACACTACTCTTACTTATTCCTGTGGCTGTTGCCAATTGGCTAACACTCATTCTTGGTTCGGCATGGATTTGTCCCAGAACTACTACAAGTAAGCCGTACAAAATATTAAGAATACTTCCAAACTGAATGACTAGATGAAAAAGATTTAGCAGTACTGCCTCAAAAGAAGATAAAATATTAATAAAAACAATTTTTAAGTACACGTCTTCTTGTCAACATGTGCTTTTCGGATGAATGTATGTACATTTTTCATCTACAGAACAGTAAGTCGCCACAATTGTTTCAAAGCAGGGTGCTACTTTTTGTATATTATTCATTAAGCAAAATCTTTTTGATTTAATCTAAATTTCTTATTTTAGACCCCATTTCGTTTCCCGTACAATTAATCAAATATCAAAGCATCATCAATTTATGAAAAGGTTATTTTTCAGCCCGATCGATTCCACCAAATGTGACAAAAACTCCAAAAATGAGACGGCACTGAAAAGAGGCTTTAAGAGGCCTGTTCAGTGACCATTATATTCGGAAAAAGGGGCGTAAAACTACGAGAAAATGACGGCATCAAATTCATTGAAAATTTGGGAATATCTTAGAAACATGATACTCTTCATCGCTACGTCGTAAAAATTTTGGAAAATTTGGGATTTTTTTTTATTTTGAAAAAAAATTGAGTAAAAAAATATTTCTTTAGCGACATTGTTTGAAGTATTCAATGGAAAAACAGCCAGCTGGATTTACCATTTTTCTTGAACATTTTTTATAAAATTATGCGCGGTGATTTTGAGAAATAATCATAATAAATCCAATAGTAGCGAAAGACGTGGCAATAGCGCATTGTCGCACGCGATCGGCCTGAACACGACTTGACACGACTTGACACGACGACATCGCTATTAGCAGTTAGCAGTAAACAGAGTCGGTTTTAGGTGCGTAGGCTAGATATTTATGCTTTTTCAGTGTATTTTGAGAAACTTAGATTGTTTTTTATTGTGTTAATTTTTGTGTTCTGGATTGTGTGAAAACTTGTTAAAAACTGTTTTATAAACATTTGTGTAAACTTTATTATAGTGATTGTTGATTTTTGAATAATCAGGTAAGGAAAAACGTACATATTTTATTAGTTTTTTTTTTCTGATATGTATTTATTGTGTTTAGACAATTCAGTAAATTTGTTTAAACATATAATTTTAGTTATTGTTAAATCCATAAAGTTTAACTCATTTTTCTCTCAATATTGCTTTTGATCCCATTATTTAGTTAGGTTTCGGGTTAGATTTACACATTTATGTTTTATTTTATGTAACTATTGTGACATGTACGTCTCATTTTCGAACTTTTGGACGGGTATCTCAGGGTGCATCCACACTATCTTAAAAACGGCGTATCGGCGTATCGGCGTAACGGCGTAACGACCTTGAATAGATTTCCAGTAATTCTATTGGTTGAAATTTTTGACAGATGAATTTGACAGATAAAATTTCTGACAGATGAATTTTTCAGCCAAGAGAATTACTGGAAATCGATTCAAGGTCGTTACGCCGTTACGCCGATACGCCGTTTTTAGGATAGTGTGGAAGACCCTCACTTATTAGTAGAGATAAAGACTGCGGTCTTGAGATACAGTGTGTAAACAATTTGCTGTTTTCTAGCGCTGTGCATAAGTCAAAATGGGTCGTGTTAGGGAAGATGAAAAAAACAAAAGGAATAAACGGTTATGTATGTCCACAATTAGAAAAAGTCAACGAATGAAAATGAAAAAAATTAGGTAAGTATCCAAAAGAGTCAAAAAATAATTTTTATTGAGTGTGCTATACGTTACTATGCATGCATAAGGCTCAGGGTGTCCAATTTTACGGGGTATCTCTCTTATTAGCGGAGACAGAAGGATGCGGTTTTCGTATCCTGCTTTTTCGTGAAATGAATGATGCTGTTAACAACATTTTTATAACTCTCTTTGATTTTTAGAGGCACACCTTGTATTTCAGCTATCTTGTAAGTTACCGATAAGGAAAACAGGGATATTTAGAGTTTTTTGCGTAAAATCCAGTGGCATAGTTAGATTTTTCTAGAACAAATAGGTGCTTTTTGACATATCAACCAAATAAATTTTTGATTTGAAATTTGGTATACAGGTAGGACTCAAGAAGTGTTTCACGGTGACCGTCCATTAGTATATCTCTGGGAGTAATGCGATTTAAATCCTGCAAATTTCCTTAGTTTTCGATGGCGTTCTCTTTATACGAGATAATAGCGATCTTATACGACTTCCGGTTATACCGGAAATAGATCTCAACTTGCTTAGTTTAAATAGAATACACCATATATTATTACATTTTTGGATTCTACGCCAGATTCTAGGAAAATTTTGTGTAATATATTCTATATCTAAGTCTAAGCGTTTGACATATTTAAATTTATATGTCAAAAATGATGTTTGCAAACCTTTATTATTTAATTTGGTATAGTTTATTTTTTAAAAAGACCTACTTTAGCAGACTTAATATTTTAATAAATATAAGTTGAATTCAAAACACTTTCAATAGACAATTTTTTCAAGCGAAAACCCACGATTTTTAAAATTTTATCGTTACCAGGGAGTTCCGGGTAAAGTATTTTATCGATTTTTTCCTTAGTAGGCCATTGAATTTGGGAATGCTGTCTAAAAATCTCAAAGTAACTGTAAAACCTTAAAAAATATTTTAAATATTAACTTTTTAGATCTCGATCTGGAAAATCAGCAGATGCATTATCCTTCCCTGACACTGAGCTTATGACGCCAGAAGTCAATTTCATTGATATACCTGAAAGGTGAGCATATATCATAATATGATATTATGACAGTATTGACCACAAAGACAAAAAGAAGGTACTTGTGTACTTTCTAGCGATAACTTCCTCTGTAAAGTGAAGGTAGTGCAACATTTTAATAAGCCAAGAATCTTATGAAACCCAACATTTTGTAATAGACATAATTTATAATAAACATCTCCATTACCATTTTTCAGAAATACCTCGCCAATGGAACACGACGATATTGAAATCGAAAACTGTTCCATCAACGGAGAAAATTCTCAACAGTAAGTAATATATCAATTTTATATTATGAATATAAATGAAAAGTAAACAGTCATAATGATTCTGGAAATCTGGACTTTATTTTTAGGGAAAATGAAGTTCAAGGAAGGCGCATAATTAATATTGCACACCTGTTTAAACAAATATTGAATGGGGAAAAACATGAACCATTTGACTGCTCACTAATTAATATGAAGTTGGTTAGCGAAAAAAGAAACGGCCTTTTCAGTAAATTTTATTTAAGATGCGAAATGTGCCACTGCGTTAAAACTCTAACATCAGATAATGAATCTGACAATAAAGTAAATGTCAATTCTTCTTTGGTTTTGGGTTCAATATCTACTGGCATTGGTTACTCCCAAGTAAATGAACTAGCTTCCACCATAAATATGCCACTTATGACAATGAATACTTTTAATAAGTATCACGAGCAAGTGGCCGATTTCATTAGATCATCAGCCTGGCAAACGATGGAAGAAACTGCAGCAGAGGAAGCAAAATTGTCAAGAGAGACTGGCGACATTGACGAAAATGGAGTACCGTGTATAACTGTTGTTACAGACGGGGCATGGGGAAAACGATCGTACAACGTAAATTACGATAGCATGTCTGGAGTAGTAAGCATTTTTTTAAATTTTGTCATTTACAGGGCGTTTCAAATTTTTACCAGCCATTAACTCTGTTGTTAGAACAGAAATTTCGAGTAAAAAAATGCATAGTAGTACAAATATTTATTTTTTGAATTTTTATATAATAATAAATAAATAAAACTTGTTGATAATAAAAAAATAAAACTAATAAATATGACTTGTTGCATGGTAGATTTCTTTTGGCTCGAAATTTCTTTTTATCTATCGAGTTATTGTCCGAGCAACAAATCTCGGGCCACTCTTTATATTTCTACACGTTTTTTCAGGTGAAAAATCGGGTAGGTAGAGGATGTTTACATAAATAAATATGAACGTTTAGATATTATTCAACTTTTTAGGCTTGTATTATTGGATACAAGACAGGAAAAATTTTATTTCTTGGAGTAAGAAATAAATATTGTTCCCTTTGCTCATGGCATGAGAATAAAAAAAAGGAAATCCCTGAGCATAAGTGCTTTAAAAATTGGGAGGGTACTTCTACGGCGATGGAAACAGATATTATAGCAGAAGGCTTTAAAAGCAGTGTCAACCAATATGGCCTTAAATATACAAAAATGGTGGGAGATGGAGATTCTTCTGTTTACAGAAAACTTTTAGAGATTAAACCATACGGGAATTCTTTGGTGCAGAAAGTGGAATGCAAAAATCACCTTCTCCGAAACTTTGCGAAAAAAGTTAGAGAAATTTGCAGTATGTATTTGAGGTTTTGTTAAGATTCTAAAAATAATGTTTTATTTCATTTTTTAGACAGGAAAAGAAGCAATTCTAAAAATCTACCAGTTCCCATGACGCTCAGAAAAAATGTCCTTTCTAAGTTTATGCGCATTAGAAGTGCTATTACTAAAGCAGCGGAATTTAGAATTAAAGAAGCTACAACTTTGCAAAGAAAGGTTGAATTGCTAAGAGGAGACATCAAAAATGCACCCAGTCATGTATTTGGGGAACATAAAGAATGTAAAGCAATTGACTACTTCAAATGTGAAGGCTTAGGTGAAGATTTGGTACCTACCATGAAACAGTGTGGCATTTACGAAGATATAATGACTGCATTGCAAAGAGTAATTGACAATTCTACTAGCCTCATAATGAATATGGACAACAATTTGGCCGAACACTACAACAGTGTTGTCTGCAAATTCATTGGCGGCAAAAGAGTTAATTACTCTTTGAAAGGTTCTTACCAGAGCAGGTGTGAAGCGGCAGCGCTTTCCTTTAATTCGGGCGGGGAATATCATCGCATAATTAATAAGGCCATTTTTGGAATTAGTCCAGAGAGCTTCCATAAAAAGTACTACCAAAGAAAAATTAAGGAAAAGGCGAAAAACAAAGCAAAGAAAGTTTTGTTTTCAAAAAGGGTCAAAAAAAATCACAAGGAGCACCTTCCTGATAAGGATTACGGTCCAAACGCTTATTATGTGCCATTGGACCTAAACAGTCAGGAGTATGAAGACAATGCAGAAGATTTTCTAAACAAATTAAAAAAAACAACAGAAGAAATCAGCAGGATAGAGAGAAACACTCTTGGACAAAAAGCTAATCCCGAATGGTTGCAAGAAAGATCTCTTAGGATAACGGCGTCAAATTTTGGCCAAATCTGTAAAATGCGACCCACAACTTCGCCAGTAAATGCCGTGAAGCACTTACTTTACGGAAACTTCTTCGGAAATAAAGCAACTCGTTATGGCAACGAAAATGAACCAAAGGCCATTGCTGACTTCGAAAACCTATTCAATTTGAAAGTTACTCAGAGTGGTTTTCATATTGGTGCAAAAGACTATTTTTTGGGCGCAAGTCCCGATGGCCTAGTGGGCGATGACGCACTCTTAGAGATTAAGTGTCCTTTCTCTATTTCGGATCAAAGTCCATCTGATGGAATCATTTCGGGAAAAATTACATTCGCCGAACTGGTCAACGGCAAGCTATCCTTGAAACGAAACCATAATTATTTTTATCAAGTTCAAGGGCAGTTAGCTCTAACAAACAGAAAAATATGTTATTTTTTAGTCTGGAGTCCTCATGGCATGCTTGTAGAGAAGGTATTTTTTTTTAGTAGAGGAGGTTTATTTTTAAATATATATTTAAAATTATGGTAATAGCCTCCTTCAATCATGATAATCTTATATGTTTTACTTTTGGTATACCTATATATTTTTTTTTCGTTGTAGATTACACGAGATGATTTATTTTGGCGTGAAAAAATGTTGCCAAAATTAAAAACATTTTACAACAACTGTTTGTTGCCTGAACTGGTAGATCCCCTACATCCGAAAGGACTACCCATACGAAACAAAGTTGTTGCTCCTCAATTAATTTAAAACTGGAATGTGCAAATCCTTTCTAATATTTAAATATTATTAAATTACCTGAAATACCTAAATAAAATATTTCTAAAACATCCACCTGACATCCGTAATACGTTATTAGAAGTAAAAGATTTAAAAAAAAAACAAGCTTTTATAAAATGCACTAAAAAGTAGAAAATAATGTTTATCATTCTGATATTATATTAATAAAAGCGATGGCCGCCTTAAGAATCTGAGTTAGTTTTAATTTGCGGCCATCGCTTTTATTAATATGATATCAGAATTCTTTTAATTTTATTTTTTAGTTTTTAGGATTTTTGAAGTCCACCATATTTGATTTAGAGTAACGTTATTTTAATTGTCGGGTTGTTCTCAGCAAGCCCTTTCATTTGATACCAATATTGTAGAAAAGCATAAAAAAACTTGGTCCGCCATCTTTAGAAGTCCGTCATTTTGAATTTAGAATTCGTCACTTCAAAATCTGATCAGAAATTCGTAATTTTTGTCTCAAAAATCCCCCATTTTCTTAAAAAAATTAAAAAAAAATCCGACATACTTTAAGTGATGCCCCCTCCACTACTCTTAAAGAGGGATGGGGTATAAACGTAACAACAGTGTAGTTTTATATTGTCGAAGAAATTATAAACACATACCAAATTTGAAATCAATCGGATATGTAGAAGTGAGTTAAAATCAACATAAATGATTTAACACAAAGTCGGCCATTTTTAATCCGCCATTTTGGATATTCAAAATCTGGTCAGAAGTTCATAATTCTCGTCTCAGGAAACCCCCATATTCCGATTTAAAATAAAATCGGACTTATTTTATGTGATCCCCCCCCCCACTACCCTGAAGAGAGGGGGGATGCAAATCTGACAACAATATATTTTTGTATTGTCACCGGAACTATAAACGCATACCAAATTTGAAGTCAATTCGATATGTCGAAGTTATTCAAAATCGGCTTGCAAGATTTTATTACATACATACATAATATAAACAAGTGAAGTTAAATAAAAGCTTGTACAAAATTCGAAAAGGCGCCAACATTTTCAGTCGTCGCATAAATTATTCCCCAATTTCCCGTCAAATATCTAAATCGAACAACTCCGGTCCTGTACCGACTAGCCGCAACCAAATAGTACTTTTAGGGGAATATGAATATCTAGTGATGGGCAAAACTGTTATTTTTAGATAACAGTTGAAACTGTTATAGTTATTTATAAAAAACAGCTTAAAATAACAGCTTAAAAATAACAGGTTTCTTTATTTTATTGCTAAATATCTGAAAGAATATGAGGCGGTCACCGCCAGGCGTATTAACGCAGTTGCAACAATGACGTGCTCGGTGGTAGTATTTCCAGGGTGTCATAACATTTCTAAATATCGATTGTTATCTAAAATACCTCTCTAAAAACGGGGGTTGTTTACAAATAAGCGCTGTTTACAAATTGCGATATAAAAAAGCCAAAATGCCGCCACTCGTCTATATCTATAAATTCCGATCTACCTACGCCCTACCCCTCGATCCGCGTAGATTCTGAATTGCGTAGCAGTGTACAGGGTGCATCTCACTCGACGGGCGAGAAGCTCTTCGTTATGATTTTACCATTTGCGGTCAAAAAATAGCAATATAAGAAAATGTGTAGTATATTCTTCATAAGTAAACCAACTACACACTAGAGTTCGAATTAATTTTACACTTAAACTAGCATGTACAGTTTGACAAATATAGGAAGAGACTTGGGGATAGCACCGGTCGCGCACACGATAGAGAGAGAACGCATTCGGCGGAAGAGAGATGCAGTTACGCTACGAAAAATCTGATTGAAGCAAATTTGTGGGATGTCCACTGCGCATCGGGGGGCGTCTCTTATTTTATATTTCTCACGTCTCTAGCTATACTTGTTAAGTTGTACCCGCGACTTCGTTCGCATCGAATTATTAATTTGTAATGGTGATGATAAAGCAAAGCAAGAATTTCCATTAACATACAAACTGGATAAAATTTTCTCACATTTGCCAAAAATATGCTTTAAACGTCGAGCAGTTTAAGCAGAATCGTGGTTAATCAATTACTCAACTTTTTGGAACACCCTGTATTATTTTTTAAAAAATTTCAAAATATGTAAAAAAACAAAATAAATTATGCGTGTCCAATCGTTTTCCCGAAAGACTAACCGTTTTTTAAATAATAAATATTGTAATATTTGAGGGGCGTTTTCACCCTCTTGGAATTTGAGATTCGAGAAACCCCTCCTTATCGCACCTCTACACCCCACAGTCAATCCGTTTACCAAAAATCAGCTTTAAACGTCAAGCAGTTTAAGCAGAATAGTGATTACTCAGTGGTCATATTTTATGAAACACCCTGTATATATTTTGTAAAAATCTCAAAATATGTAAAACAACAAAATAAAATATACGTGTTTAAGAGTTTTTTCGAAAAACTCACCAGTTTTTAAATAAAAAATATTCTAATATTTGAGGGTGGTTTCACCCCCTTAGAATTTGAGTTTCGAAAAATCCCTTCTTATCGCACCTCTACACCCTAAAGTCAATCCGTTTTCCAAAAATCAGCTTTTTACGTCAAGGGCTTTAAGCAGGATCGTGATTAATCAATGACCAGATTTTTCAAAACACCCTGTATACATTTTTAAAAAATCTTAAAATATTATTCTGAAAATTTTTCAGAATAAATAAATACTTAAATATTGAAACTTAATAACAAAGTATTGAAACATACAGCGCCATAATATCTCGACCTCCGCCCGTTATGCTCGTAACAGGTTGAAAAACAATATGTATCTAAAACAACTGATGCGTTATTCTCCAACCTGTTTCAAACCTCCGATTATCTCGAACGCCGTTCTGTTATGCTCGTAACAGGTAAAAAAACAACATAGCTAAAACAACTGATGCGTTATTCTCCAACCCGTTGCGAGCCTCCATCGACAATCGACCGATGCAGCAGCGCTCCTTTCCCACTCCTGTTATCTCGACAGCCAGGCGTTATGCCCGCAACTGTTTCAAAAAAGCTGCTTCTTTTATATCCTATTATTTTTAAGCTGTTGTCAGCCCAACACGACGCGCCGCGCCGTAGCGCATACCCCACTCCGTTGTCCGTTGTATCTCGCCGCCTGTATCGATGGTTGTCGAAATAATAGGTTTTCCATCCATACTAGTTGTTTTTTGGAATTGCTTCGAGCAGCATCGAATTTCGTGGCGGTGCAGAGCGCCGACTTCGTTTCACGAACACTCGATCTCTGCGTGTCGTTATTTTATATCTGTTATTTTTTAAAAGCAGTAACGGTTGCGTTATGTTATTTCTAAATAATTGTTATAAAATAACAGATACTTAAATAACAACCCATCACTATGAATATCTGTATTACCATTTTCCTCTCCGCTTCGACCGTAACTGATTTTCGCCGGCTGTGTGACGGCGGATTTAGAAACAGTGTTGCCATATCAGGCATTTTACGTCTCCCTATCGTTCGTAAGCGAAAACACGAAGACCCAAGCGGCGAGTCACTGAACAGGCCTCTTAATAACCTTTCAAATGGTGTGCTACTCGACCCCGCATTACGTTTAAGATATTAAGGGTGGATGTCACACCCCGCGTGGGGTTTGAACTAGGGGCTTCTAAAATAGTCGCATTTTATTTCCCCTTCGAAAAAAAGTTGACGTGTTTCACCTTTTTGTCCTTTTCGTGCCAGAAATGCCTTTAAATTTCCTTGTTTCGTTTGAACTGGGACACCCTGTATGATATATATCATTCTATTTAGAGTGTCATTTTCTATCGAATAATGTAATAAAAAACAACGGAAACAGGATTAAATACAAATCAATTTAATACGTTTATCAATCCTGATTGTCATATATACTAACGTACCGAATCTCGTTTCTTTATCTGAAAAAATAAAAAAAGTTATAGGAGTGAGCCACCTTAAACAATAATTGTTCTTTAAGCTTTTTTAAGAATTGGATAAAGAATTACATAACTGCAGTGGCGCATTAAGACATATTTGCACCCTAGGCTAATAAACATTTGGCGCCTATACCCCCCCGGAATTTTATACTTAAACAATTTATTGTTACTGAAGAGTAGCTACAAAAAGAATATTTAATTTTTCACTATTTATTTAGAATGCACCTGCATTTAATTCGTGTGGATTAGCTCAGTGGCGGACTAAGGATATTTCTAACCCGAGGCGGACTTTATGTGGAGCCCCGTACAACCTCACATTTGAAGTTTTGGCCCTGGCGAGACCGGGTGATGATGTAAACTTTAAATAGTAATTCATTTTTCACTACTAATGGGCTACAATTTATTTGTATTTATCAACTTCTAAAAAATAAAAGAATAATTATTATCATTTCACTATTTAATTTACAAAGGAACTATTCACCCCCATCTACGCAGAAAATATAATACACTTTCTAAAAAAATACACTCACTATGAAACTTTAATTACTTCAGCTATCACCGCTTATGTGTCCCCAATCGATAAAAAGGAGTATGTGAATAAGTTGATTAGTTTAGGTTGGTTTAAGAGTTATCGCGTAGGAAAGGTAAAAAAACATGGTTATACATTTTTGACATTTTCAGGGATAAAACATTTCTGACCGCCCCCCAAAAAAAAACGTAGTAATTTCACATGCACAAAGCCCTAACCGCTGTGGCGGACTAAGCCTGGTGTCCCAAGCTGTACTCGACTATTGAAATAACCGACATCGCTCGATTATGAACGAGCGATGCAAGTGACGAGTTACGAGCGACGAACGCAAGCGATCCTAGAATGAAATAAATTGAAATCCGATTTTAATGTGACACTCGATAAAAAGCCGAACGATTTTCTACATACATTGCAGGGAGCAAATTTATACGACGTTATCCGTTGCGTATCTGAGTGACAAAATTTTACGACCTACATCGACAATGCTTTGAAATAAACTAAATTAAGCGAATTACTCGTCGCTCGTCGCTTGCTACTTGCCATTCATCACCGAAAGAATATGTACTCTGCGCATGTTATGGTGGGTTCATACAGCCAAATAAAATAAAATAAGAATAAAATAAAATAAAATAAGAAAGTTGGTTATATGGGATACCGTACATGCGTTCATACAGCCAAATAAAATAAC